TTTTTGATTGTTTTTTTAATTGTTATAATAGAAGTTTATTTTTGTTTGATCCTTTTTGATGATTCTAATTTTAATGAAAGTGCCATTATTACTAATCTAAGTGATAAATTATCTTAATTGTAGACAAATAAAAAAAATATAATACAGTGGTGACTTTAATTTTTTTATGTTAATAAACATTATCTCAGTAAATTAATCATGCTAATAAAGCGTAACTCAGGTATTGAGCTACTTGGACAAGCAAATTGTATTACAATGTCAAAATAAGATATACTAGTATATTTTGATAGTTGGTTCAGAACATCACTTATAGTGTTTTCAAAGAATTATAATAATAAAAACAGTTTTTTGACCATCCTGAACAGTTGTCATTTCTGAGATACGCTTTATTAGAATTAAGGCGACGATATATATATATCAGAAGGAGGAGGAAGGAGGGCGCCACCGTGCCACTGCTTACATCGGTTCCGTGATTTTAATTGAAAAATAATTACTTCTAATCGTGAAAGTAAATCAAAACTTACGTAGAACGTTAAAAAGTGTAGCAAAGTACCAGGACAAAGTGAAGTATTTGAGTGAAAGTGAAATACTAGTGCTCTAAACAAGTGCAAAAAACCATAACGGCTGAACAACTTTTGTTTTTTCATTGTAATGATTGTCGAGAACTTATTAGTCAGGAAAGTGTAGATTATCAATTTTTTAAAGACATCTTATTTATACGTGCGCGAAACTGAAAAAACAAGTGCAAAACATAATCAACATTTTTAGATTAACTATTGCAATATTACTATTCATCTTGCATACAAACTAACCTCTTAGCGACATCTACCGACGAGTGGCAGAACATAAAGGAGAGAGATCCAACTACACCGTGGTAGTACCCAACATAAAAATAGTGTTTCCACTACTCACCACAAGAGGACATTATATATAAACAGGAATACAACAAAAAACTTCTGTTTATAAACTATTTATATCGCTTATTTATTAAAATGGAGGAAATAAAAAATATGTTAAAAGTAATGCAAGAGGAAATAAGAACAAAAAGTCGATATGCAGGATATGAAGGAGGATATTAAAAATACTATTAACAGCAATATTAACGAGAAGTTTAAATGTCTAGAAACCAAAAACGAGCTTTTAGAACAGAAACTAGAAACGCAGACAATAAAAATAAATAATTTGGAGAGGACCATAAGAAAGAAAAATCTACTCATATTCGGAGTCTCTGAAGACGAAAAGAGCTACTGGGACCTAGAGGAAAAGGTTATTGATATAATAAATAACGTAATAAACATCAAATGCGATAGCAACGGTATTGAATGCGTGAGAAGACTTGGAAAAAAGGGAGAAAAAGTCAGACCCATCGTTATAACATTAACCACAATGGGGCTAAAAATAAAAATACAAAAAAACAAAAAGAAACTAATACCTACACCCTACTATATTAAAGAAGATTTTCCTCCCGAAATACTAAGCAAGCGAAAGGAACTTCAAATGGAAGTCAGCAAAGAAAGAGAACAAGGTAAATTAGCGATTATTAAATATGACAAAATCGTAATACTAAAGAACCGAAACCAGCAAGCCGAGAAGCAAATTATGGATAAAAAGAAAAGAGTTTTGTCAGAGTCACCGGAAACATCGCAATCCGACTGTGAAAATAATAAAGACAAGCAACCTATAAAGAATAAAACAAACAGCATGGATAACTTCCTGTTAAAAAAACCAACTTTGCAATTTCCCTCCAAAAAATTCACTTCGCATCCTCATGATCCAAGAACCACACAATAACAACCAATACCGGCCCCTCCCCATCTCCCAACACGGCTATTCACCGCGGGAGAGGACGACTACAACCCTCCAACTTGTCAACCACTCTATATCTGCACATACAATGTTAAATCATTACTATCGCCACAAAGAATGATACTATTAAAATATTCATTATCAAAAATTAAACATGATATCGTAGGACTATCGGAAATCAGAAGAAAAGGAAATGAAATTATCGAGGACGAAAATCATATTTTTTGTTATACAGGAGATATACAAGGGCAATATGGTGTAGGCTTTTTAATAAAAAAGAAATATAAAAACAACATAGAGAACTACGTAGGTATATCAGATAGAGTTTGCCTCCTAAATATGAAATTCTACAAAATATCAATTTCAATAATACAGGTGTACGCCCCCACCTCTGAAGCACCGGAAGAGGAAATAGATCTTTTTTAACGATCAAATCGAAAAAGCTCAAAAACTAGCAAACGGAAAAATGATTTTAATGGGAGACTTAAACGCTAAAATAGGAAAAAGAAAACCCATGGAAAACATAATTATGGGGCCATACTGCTTTGGAACGGGGAACGACAGAGGAGACAAACTACTACAATACGCATTAAAAAAAGAAATTCACTATAATTAACACAATATTTATGAAAAAAATTAAAACTTTATGGATATGGACTACACCAGACAAGCATCATAAAAACCAAATCGATTATATTTTGAGCAACTCTCCAAAACTTTTCACAAACATAGAAATTTTAAATAATAATACATTTTCAAGCGACCACAGACTACTGCGAGGTACAGTACAACTGAAAAAACTTAAAAAAAAGTAGAGCAACTTTTACTGAAACTCGAGCTAGTCTGTCGTGCGACAAGAGTCAACAAGTATACCTCAAGACTTTAGAGGAAAAAATGCAACAAACTGAATAGGAAAGTTGCGACGACATAGAGTTCTTCAATCTTAAGATAGAGACAGCCATAAAACAAAGCCTAAATGCTGCCACCTCAAAGAAAACAAGCAAAGATATTCTAACTATTGAAACTAAACAACAACTTAAAAAACGTATTGCACTGCAATCAAAACCATGTAAAAACAAAGAGGAGAAAAAAGAACTTACAGTTCTCTATAAAATTACAAATAAAATGTTAAAAAAAAGACTACGAAAACTACAGAATAGAAATTATCGAAAAGAACCTGACCACCACCGGAAGCCAAAGGAAAGCCTATAAACAACTAAATACTGAGCGTAAATGGATACCCACATTGAAAGCACAGAATGCTACAGGTAAATTACAAACGCGAAAAGACATAATAAATATTGCTACGGACTTTTACAGAAATCTCTACCAGGATGAACGAAGCGAAGAAAATGACCACAAAAAATATCAAATACAATTAAATACACCCATCGCGCCTTTTGACTGCAGAGATATATTGGAAAAAAATAGAAAAATTAAAAAAATAAAAAAGCCCAGGTCCTGATAACATTCCTAATGAAGCCTTAAAAATTGGAAAGAAAAATCTAATAGGTCCAATCACGATTCTGTTTAATATAATACTAGAAGTCCAAAAAATCCCTAAAAACTGGGGAGAATCTCGAATTTTATTATATAAAAAGGGAGATCCTTCAGACATTAATAACTATCGACCAATCAGCCTGTTGCCAACAATGTACAAATTATTTGCAATGTGTCTGGAAAAAAGAATAGCATTAAGAATAGAAACTAACCAACCAGTAGAGCAAGCTGGATTCCGGTCGGGCTACTCTACTATCGACCACATCCACACGCTAGACCAAATAGTAGAAAAATATCAAGAATTTAATCAGCCGCTCTACCTTGCATATATCGTTTATGCGAAAGCATTGGATTCAATTTCACACGAGAGCATATGGCAAGCGCTATCACACCAAGGTATTCCAGAAACTTACATAAATATAATCAAAGATATATACAAGAATAGTACAAGCAGGGTGAAGTTGGACAGACTAGGACCAAAAATTTTCATTAAAAGAGGAGTGAAACAAGGAGATCCGTTGTCTCCAAAGATATTTATAGCCGTGTTACAGGACATTATGAAAGAGCTAAATTGGAGTAGAAAAGGAATTAAAATAGATACAGAGTTCCTAAGTAACCTAAGATTTGCAGATGATATCGTCATATTTGCAAAAACATCGAAGGAGCTGGAAACAATGATGGTAGAACTAAATAACGCCAGCAAAAAAATAGGCTTACAATTGAATACGTTAAAAACAAAAGTTACTACAAACAGTATACAAAGACCAATAATAGTAAACGAAACAGCGATAGAGTATGTGGACAGCTATGTATATCTTGGGAAACAAATTTCATTCAAGAAGTCAAGACACGAAGACGAATTAGAGCGCCGTATCAACATGACATGGAGGAAATACTGGAGCTTCAAAGAAATCTTAAAAGCAAAACTCCCACTAAAACTCAAAAAAAAGGTAATAGACTCTTGTTTGCTGCCTTGTCTGTCATATGGAGCACAAACTTGGATTTTTCAAAAGAAAATAAAAAATAAAATACGATCGTGCCAGCGCGCTATGGAACGAAGTATCCTAGGCATTAAGCTCCTTGACAAACGTAAGAGCGAGGATATTCGCAGGAAAACTAAACTGATAGACGCAGGACAACACGCACAACAGCTTAAGTGGAGTTGGGCGGGACACATAGCCCGGGTTACAGACGGAAGATGGACGAAACGAGTCACCGAATGAACGGGCCCAAGCGGAACAAGGAGTAAAGGGAGACCTAAGGATCGCTGGATCGATGAAATTCAAAGAATAGCTGGTAGAGATTGGATGTTGAAGGCGCAAAATAGTATCAAATGGAAACAGTTGGAGGAGGCCTATACCCGGAGCGGGCCATGTCTTAAACAATAACAATTTGGATTTTTTTTTCTTGTATGTATGTAAATTGCATGGTAATATAAGGGCTTAATAATAATAATAATATATATAGGGTATATATATATATATATATATATATACTATATATATATATACCCTAGGATTTGTATGCTGATCCTACGTGGTCGTGATTTCTTACCATATTTAAAAATTCACACTATCCTGTTGTTCACAAGTAGACTGTCATTAATATTCAGGGTTGTAAGTACCGATGTATATAATTACACTTCCATTATTCTTAGTAAAAATTTACTGCTGATACTTCTAGTTCTAGATTAATCAGGAAGTACCTGCGCAGTCAAAATTTGGATACATATTATAATGTATTGCATCACTTACCTTAACAGGATTTCTATAGTTTGATTCTTGAGATAACCTTTTGTACATCTTGAATTGTGGTGGGACGCTTATCTCATTGAGACGAGGCAATAGAGCTTCAATTGGTTTCCGTGGTCCTCTCTGCGATTTAATTGTGCAATTTTATAGTTACGTTTAAAAATAAATCATCAATAAAAGTAAGAGGGATCCATCTTAGTTATCTACATTTTGATTCTTAATCGAAGTTAAATATAGATATCTATGGGCCATAGCATCCACTTACCATCAGGTGGACTGTGTGCTTATTTGTCACCCTTATCCTATTGGTGCGCGTATAAGTTGATGTCTGGTACCTGGCACTAGCGCCATCTAGTGTCGGGGAACAGAGCGAGGAGAGCTTCCTAGAAAATGCCAATCTTGAACTTTCCACCAACAGCACCATCTAGTATCGAACAGAAAAATTAAGCTTTCTAGAAGGGTCCACTCTCGAACTTTTTTGCGCCTGGTCGGTGGCGCCCGTATTTGCTTGAATATTCTGTATGTTTCGGTGGAAGAGCCAAGAGTAATTGATTTGGCTATATTCGGAAAATAAAGTGAATCAGTTATTAATTATTAGTCTCTTTTAAGTTTTAATTGCTGTTCGGTAATAAAAGTGTAAATTTTGGTAATTCAATAGGCAGTTTTTACTGTCACGAACCCTAAGCTCGTAACAATTGGTGTCAGAAGTGGGATAAAATCATGCCGATTTTACCTAAGGAGGAATCGGGTGTCTGTACCCGAAGTCAACGCCAGCAGGAGACGAACCAGAGGAGATTTGGTGGTGCAACGCCGCAGACGTCGGAGGGCCAACTTCCAGCCACTGAGGCTGGCCCGTCAGCAGCTCCTAAACCTGCAGCACCTGACTTAGGTGCTCTCATGATGCTGCTGCAGGAAAAGGCTCGCCGACAGGAGGAACAAGCCCGTCGACAGGAGGAACAGGCACGCCGATTGGAAGAGCAGCCGCGGGGTAGACAAGAGGAACAGACTCGTCGCTTAGAAGAGCAGCTCAAACATGATAAGGAAGAGCAGATGTTTCTCATGAAGGACCTTCACGCTACTTCGGGAAAGAGATTAGGGAGGTAAAGGATAAGGTTGCTCAGTATGACAAACGCCTGTCGGAAGCTGAGACCCGAATCCACCAATTGAACAAAGTGATGGCGGACATGAAGAAAACGCTGAACGACGTCAAACTTGGGGATGGAATAACAGGCCCCATGGCAACTACAACACCTTTAGTACAAGGGTTCAAAGTGCCGCTGTTCAATGGGACTTCTTCCAGGGCGGCCTACAAAATCCAGTTCGAGGCCGTCATGGAGGCGAACGGATGGAATAAAAGCAAGGCCATGACTGCACTCACCCTGGGCATGCGCGACCAAGCCTTAACTGTGTTGGAAGCTCTCGGTAAAAAAGTGACCTACAAGCAGCTCCTTGAGGCATTGGAGGCGAGATATGGCGACGCTCACCTGGAACACGTCTTTATGCGCAGCTTAAAGATCGCGTGCAACGCAGCAATGAAAACCTGCAGCAGTGGGCTCTAGAGCTGGAGAAGCTGGTGTGAAAAGCATACCGGTCTGTACTTTCACGTTGGCTCAGGCACCACGTGACACTTAAGGAAGCCTTGGCCCATGCACTGGAGGTGGAAGCCGTGCGGCAGGATCTTCGCTCCCATCGCGTCAGGGAGGTTGCGGCAGATACAGTTCGCAACTGCAATAATGGATACAGCTCTAAGTGCTAAGGCTGTGGAGAAAGGGGCCATCTTCGATCCAGTTACACTAAGCGAGCTGTGGAAAGGGAAGGTGATCGACCTCGAAGGGGTAGTGCGACTAACGGTACCGCCCAGCAGCGGCAGGATTATCGTTCTCCTCAGGTTAGGGAGGTTGCAGCACCTACAGTTCGCAACCACAATAAAAGTTACAGCCCAAGGTGCTACGGTTGTGGGGAAAGGTGCCATATTCGACCCAGCTGCCCTAAGCGATCTTTAAAAAGGGAAGGTGACCGATCTCGAAAGGATAGTACGGCTAACAGCACCGCCCAGCAGCAGCAGGAATACGACTTTACTATCGGACACTGCAGCGGGAAATTGCGTGGCAACACAGATGCATTATCAAGAAGACCTTATCCTGACGATTGCGAGAACAGTACTAGGTAAGAGGGTAAGGAAGTGGTATCCGTGAGGATGCTCAGGACAGACCACCTCAGCAACGAGTGGAAGGACAGCTTACAACATGCACAGAAGGAAGATCCCGACATCAAGCCGATTCTGGAATGGATGAAGGCCCGTGCTCCCAAACCCAAGTGGACCGACGTCTCAGCGATGAGTTCGACCACTAAAAGCTATTGGGCTCAATGGGACAGCTTGCTTCTTAAGGATGGAGTTCTGTGCCGTAAATGGGAAAATGTTCGGGGAGACAGCTGTCATTTGCAAATGGTTGTCCCTAAAGCTAAAGTACCGGATGTTCTACAGCTGTACCATAATGATTATTCAGGAGGCCATCTGGGAGTTAAACGAACTCTATTGAAGATCCGAGAACAGTTTTACTGGGTCCATTATCGTGACGATGTCGAGGATTGGTGTCGCACATGTACAAGTTGTGCGGCTGTGAAGGGACCTCAGACTCGTAGTAGAGGAGCATCGAAATCGCACAATGTTGGTGCACCATGGGATAGGACAGCCCTTGACGTTGCGGAGCCGTTTCGAAAAGGTGCAAGAGGTACTCCTAAGATCGTCCATGTGGATCGTCTGGCGCGATATTATGGGGCCGATAATGCTCAGGACGAGCATGTCTTAGGAGGGGGCAGTGTTGCGCGCCTAAGTTGATGTCTGGTACCTGGCACTAGCGTCATCTAGTGTCGGGTAACGAGCGAGGAGGGCTTCCTAGAAAATGCCAATCTTGAACTTTCCACCAACAGCGCCATCTAGTATGGAACAGAAGAATTAAGCTTTCTAGAAGGGTCCACTCTCGAACTTTCTGTGCCTGGTCGGTCGGTGCCCGTATTTGCTGGAATATTCTGGATGTTTCGGTGGAAGAGCCCTATATAAAGCCGTTGATAGCCGCGATCGGCGCAGTATTGAATTTGGCGATACAAGCGAAGCGTCGGAGCGGAATAAAGTGAATCAGTGTGATTAATTATTAGTGTCTTTTAAGTTTTAATTGGTGTTCGGTAATAAAAGTGTAAATTTTGGTAATTCAATCGGCAGTTTTAATTGTCACGAACCCTAAACTCGTAACACTATAAAAAATCTATACATATAAATATAATTGAAGTGCCTGTCTGCAACTGTAATGTCAAAATAACAGCCTTTTATCGAGCTCACGTCTTAATGGCATGCAGATAACCCCAATTTGTATGCCAACGTAAGACATGAATAACCATTTGTATAATAGGGTATTTTTCCCATTTTCAAAAATTGTTTTAAATGAATCCTGGAGTGATAATGAACCACTATAATTTTTATATAATTTTTTTTTAAACAGAATGGTGCCATAAAAATTACTTTTAATCTATCTTTCTTCATCGTAATTATTACTTAAAAATTTTGAAATAACACAGCACGTTAGCTAGTTCTCTTAATCAGTGACTAAAATCCTTAGGCTGGATCAGTGACGTCACGACATGAACTAATATGGCCGACAGCGTTTTGCAGATTTGAGGAACAGACGAAAAAAAATATTCTTAATATGGAAATTTAAAACTTATAATGCAATTTTATAAACAGAAATCTATATTTCTTATTTACTTTTTACAAAGTCCATCATAAATATATATTTTTTGATTTTATTTTTCAATGTGTAAAATAATGATTTCTTATATTTACGCGAACTCTACACATTGAAATAATACTAGTTTTTACGGAATTTATCGCGTATATTTAACTTTTTAAATACCCGACGTTTCGAACGCTTTACAGCAGTCATGGTCACGGGCGGGACTGAGATGTTCAACATCCAGATGTCGTAGTTAACCGCGGTTACCATAGATTAAAATTCGACTTTTGTTCCGATCTACACAGTATGAACTTATGGTATCTTGAAGTCTTGCAGTTGTATGCTTGGGTTGGGATTTAATTTTATTTATTATAGGATCCCAAGCAGATGGTAGCACCCAGCCATCTTCTCTATTGAAATTAGGATGTTTTTTGATTTCAATAGCCTCGCAAATCATCCTTGGAAGGAATCGGTGTTCTTTAGCGAGGATTTGTGGTCTATCAAATCTGATGTAGTGACGGGGGCGTCCTGTATGTGTTCACAGACTGCAGACTTCCCGGAGCGTCGATTTTTCACATCAGCTATATGTTCTTTAACGCGGTTTTTAATTGATCTATTAGTTTGTCCTATGTAGAAGAGACAACATTCACAATCAAGCTTGTAAACTCCTGCATCTTGCAGAGGGACATTACACTTGACTGATGGTAAAAACTGACCAATCTTCTTCAGCGGCTTGAAGTATGTTTTGATGGAAGCGTGCTTCAAGATGTAGCCAATCTTGTCAGTGACTCCTCTAACATATGGCATATGGTGTTTACTGTCACAGATCCGTCGTGCTCTCTGAAAAAAGATTTACCCACGGTAGCTAACTGTGAAGGATGGTGGTGATCACCGTTTAAATATCTATCTGTATGGGTCTTTTTTCTATACACAGTATGGCTCAAGGTGTTATCAGGATTCCTAATTACTAACACATCTAGAAAAGCTAAGGAATTGTTTGCCTCTAACTCCATTGTGAACTGGATTTTAGAATTTATAGAGTTAAGATGGTCCAAAAAATGCAGTTACTTTATCTAAAGGTAGAATTGTGAAAGTGTCGTCTACGTACCGCTTGTAGAATCTTGGATTTATGGGAGAAGTAAGCAGGGGCTTTCTCCTCAAAGTCTTCCATGAATATGTCGGCGACAATGGGAGATACAGGTGAGCCCATTGCCACACCATCTACTTGCTTGTAGAACTCCTCCTTCCACAATAGGTAACCAGATGTAAGGCAGTGTCTGAGTAATACTGCATATTCTACTAGTTAAAATTGAGATGCAGTCTTCAACAGGTAAGCATGTAAACAATGACCACATCAAAACTGACCATAGCTTCATTGTCTGCCAGATGTAGGTCTTTAATCTCGCTCACAAAATGGTAGGAATCCTTTATGTGTACTCTTGTATGTCCCCTGAGCGGTGAGAGTATTTTCGATAAGTGTTGGGCCAATCTGTAAGTTGGTGAATCGATTTGGCTCATTATGGGACGTAATGGAGCATTGGGCTTGTGTATTTTTGGTAACCCGTACAATTTTGGTGATTTGGCGCACGTAGATATTAACCATTTTACGTCTAGATTTAATTTTTCGGAGTGTTTCTTTATGAGGTCACTAGTTGTTTTTAGTGTGCTATTTGTTGGGTCGTTTTTAACCTTTTCATAAGTACTTACATCCGACAAAAGTTCTTGTATTTTAGAATTATAATCTCACGTATCCATGACTACCGTGGCGTTTCCCTTATCTGCGCGGAGAATCGTAAGTTTTGGTTTATTGCGTAGGTTCTTTAACGCTATAAATTCGTCTTTGGGAAGATTTGGTTTAGGCACTGAACATCGACGTAACATAGATGAAATGTCTTGACGTATCGCCTCCAAATCTTCTTTCCGCATATTGTTTTTAAATAAACAGTCCTCGACACTACAGATAATTTCTTCGTACGGTAATTTGCGTGGTGTAATAGCAAAATTGAGGCCTTTGGATAAAACCCTCAGAGCTGGTTCACATTAGGTCGGACCAACAGTTTGCCGTTCACCGACTGCCGGGTGTTGCTGTTCACACTAGACGCCGCCAACGCGAACTGTCGGTACGGTCGAAACGTGTCTTCTCTGCATACACGTCGACGAAACTGCTTGCGCGAGTGCCGAGAGCAGGGTAAGGGCGGGTGGGAGGTTGGCAGGCGGGTGTCGCCGCCGCTTCGCGCCGACATATGTGAACGGTGCCATACTTGGTAGTACGCCAATATTATGTCCGATCCGACAGAAATCGTGACTGGACGTACGGTAAAAGTGTCGGAGCCCACACTTTTACGTAACGTACCGTCGGGACGCCCTAATGTGAACGGCGCTATTGACATACATACGCCAATATGGATCCGACACGTTTGTCGGGCCGGTAAAACTGTCGGTCCGACCTAATGTGAACGAACTCTAATTGTTGCATCATCCAGTGTTTGTTTTGACAGATTATAGAGCGCGATTAATCTATGATCTGTGTTTGTCAATGGTTGCTTTTGGTTCTGGCATTGATTCAGATGTTTGACATTTGACTTGGTCGTTAATTTTTGATATTTTTCATACAGGATCGCCCCCGTCACTACATCAGATTTGATAGACCACAGATCCTCGCTAAAGAACACCGATTCCTTCCAAGGATGATTTGCGAGGCTATTGAAATCAAAAAACATCCTAATTTCAATAGAGAAGATGGTTAGGTGCTACCATCTGCTTGGGATCCTATAATAAATAAAATTAAATCCCAACCCAAGCATACAACTGCAAGACTTCAAGATACCATAAGTTCATACTGTATAGATCGGAACAAAAATTAAATTTTAATCTATGGTAACCGCGGTTAACTATGACATCTGGACGTTGAACATCTCAGTACCGCCCGTGACCATGAGTGCTGTAAAGCGTTCGAAACATCGGGTATTTAAAAAGTTAAATATACGCGTTAAATTCCGTAAAAACTAGTATTATTTCAATGGTGTAAAGTACCCTATTGTTGCCTACACAGACAGACAAAAATTTTGTTTTGTCCTGTACTGGCTAATCTTGTCCCTGGTTTAAGTTTTTGGCATTCTTATGAATATGACATTTGCGAGATGTTAATAATGTCATCTACTAGCTATAAGGTTTTTCTGACATATTATACAAAAATATATTACGACTCCCACGGGGATGACATGAGGTAGACGCCAATGTTCTTGTGGTCATTATACATCGTACCTTTTCTTTAAGTCATATCCCAGCAGTAATCAAAATTTGAGTACGTTTATTTTTTATCAGTCAAGTGTCACATTCATATCTGATTCTAACACATTAACTTTAAACGGTAAGGGATGACAAGTAGAGTGAATGCAGCTTATACGAACTCTTACGGCATTATAAATACGAGGGTGACACTGAAAGTTCTTAGAAAATCAAAAACTGAACAAACTAGCAAGTTATTAGTTTTATTATAACTTTTCAAAATAGTGTCCATTTATATGAATACATCGCTGCATCCGATGGAACCACTGAGAAAAGCACTTCGCCCACTCGTCCTTAGGGGTCTCTTCAACGGCATTTTGAAACGCAGCTACTGCTTCCTCCGCGTCCATAGGACGTTTTCCTCAAAGTTTTTCTTTTATTTTCGGAAATAAACAAAAATCGCAAGGTGCGAGGTCGGGGCTATAGGGCGGGTGATCCAATAATTCCACGTCTGACGTGAGACGTTGTCTTGGTAAAGGAGGATCCTACTGCTAGGTCGTTTCTCTCGAACTCTTCGAATCTTTTTTCCCACACTTCGGCCTCTCTTCATTTTTGTTGGCAACTCCTCGGAAAGAAACACCCAGACAACAGACTGTCTCTTAGTTTCAGAATCATAGCAATAAATCCAGATTTCGTCAGCCGTAAGTACGTTGAACACAGCATTTCAGTCACCTCCGTTAAATCTTTGAAACATTTTACGACACCGATCAACACGACGGAGTTTTTGGGCCTCCGTCAAATTATGTATCACCGGGCACAAAGCTTCCTGACCGCTAAATGTTCATGGAGGATTTTGTGCACTTGACTCATACCGATGGCTAAGCTTGTCCGAACCTGCTAATATGTCAGTCTCTATCATTCGACGAACAACACTGATGTTACATTCAGTCGTCGCCGTAGAAGGTAGCATGCAGATCATCGGTGAGATTAGTGCGACCACGTTTAAACTCATTCAAACCGTTGTAAACAGTGGCACGAGATGGGCTTCATCGTGAATGGCCAATTGAAGTCTACCATAACTTTCTTGTTGAATTAAATGACATCGAAAGGCATAAAAAATAATTGTACGAAAATTTTCTCGCGTTAAATTCAGGCTGACATGACACAGACAATTTTTAATTTGCGCCAAATCTTAAACAAATAACAAATTAATAAAATACATACACAATAATATTGGCAAATTTTTCCATTTTCAAAATTTGAGCTTATTTTTTTATTGTATCGTTTACAAGCGGCCAGTTCTAAAAACTTTCAGTGTCGCCCTCGTAATTACACATTGAACTAGATCATCTATACGATTAGTGAGTTACTTCCGTATGTTAAATGGTAATGAACTTGACGCAAATTGTGACCACCGGTAAAGTAAATGTGTTGAGATGAAGACCGTATTTGGGATTTTTTTTTTTTGGAGGACTGGAGGATAATAGTAGGAGTATCATAGACCGAATTTTCCAGCAACGTCTCCATACACCAAGAACTCTGCAATAAACTGCCTGACAATGTTAGTACAGAGTTGCATATTGAATTTCCCGGACTCATATCCCCGAGTTAGAGTGGCTCCATCGCGTGTCTTGTTGTGCAGTACTAAGCGGAAGGCACTCAGAGGGCGAGTAAGGTCGCACATGCGATGAAACGGCCGATTTAAGACTGCTGAAGTGGTGCCATACATGAGTGTATCATGACGTCGACCAGCAGAAAGACTAAAGACGTCTCTTCGCGATGAACACGACCGCTCCGTCAAGAGTGTTGCGACGAAGAAGAAGCAAAGGACACCCTGGAGTTAGTTTGTGCGATGAACTACGCCAGCTACCTAGCTGCTAAGTAAAGCTAAGTAGCACACGTTAGTAATTGCTATCTGCTATAGGATGGCGATAAAGAAGATCCTAACTAGGAGCAAGACATAATTGCCTAATTAAGGCAAATTTTTAGAATAAAGGATAATGACCAACTGTCCAAAATAGCAATCCTCTAATTAATACTTTACCTTTAATGGTGGCGGTCTAAAATCTTTTTTAGGGGCGGCGATCTGACTGATGTAATCCATATGTTTCTTCCACTCGCTCTCAGTCCAACCTCTCTTTTTCTTTACGTCTTTATTATCGTGTTTCTTCAAATCGAGAACGCAGTTAGCAAGCTTGGAGTACATAGTTGCATTAGCGGCTTCTATCATACGGTCCAAGCGTTCCAAGCGCTCGGGACTAAAACGATTTTTGTAAGCACGTTTGGTTTGCAGTAACCGTCTGAAAGAAATTGAATAAAAATTTGAAGATGAAAGTTACACAAAAATAAGGCCTGCCAATTTCGATTACAGCGATAACTTTAGAAGTAGGGCTGCCGTCCGTCCGGACTTTCCAGGATTTATCCTAATTTTAAGACAGTCCGGGGACAGTCCGTAAGGGGTTCAAAAAGTGTTCACACTTTGTGACCGATACACTTTAATTGTTTCACTTTAATACAAACTTTTACATTTTACAGAAATCTTTTGGCAAGAAATTGTGGCGCGACGACAGCGCTGCCACAAAATATTTTAAAAAATTGGGAAGTGTGAAAATAAATGACACTAAGTAAAAGGAAGCTCTAAATAACTCTAAATATTTCGGCTACTTTTTACGTCGGAAGTCCAGCTAAAACTCCATGCTATTGATCTTGTCGCCCTTTGCGAAGACTACCTACGGAAACACTTTCACACAACACCGCAACTTCGATGGCGGCGAGCGAGTGAAACTGGAGCTTTCCACACCGTTTTAGGGTTCCGTAGTTAAACAACAAGGAATCCTTATAGTTTCGCCATGTCCGTCCGTCCGTCCGCGGTTTTACTCAGAAACTCTAGGTTGCTACAAATCTGTAATTTGGCATAGTCATAGATATTAATCACGCCTACAAAACTGTAAAGTAAAATCTTAAAAAAACATTTTTATTTTGGGTACCTGCCATACAGGCAAAGAGAGGATGAATTTTTTACCCGTCTATTCCATAGTGTGGGGTGTCGTTGGATAGGTCTTTCGAAAACAATGGGTCGTATGGAACATTTTCTCGATTCAGGGGTCCGTTTGCGAAATATTTAGCTTTAAAGTGGTATATTTCATTAATCATGTACGCCTCCTCCCCCCTCTACCAACTAAACCACTGTTTTTGTAAATGTGAAAGTATACACAAAAGAAGTAAAATGAAGTTAAAAGGAAAACCATCACAGCTAGGTAGAATTAACAATTTAACGAGTAATAGTCAATCAACTTATAAATAGCACTTGGATTGGTAAAACTTTCTTACAATTTCATAGAAAATGACCTAAAACTAGCTGCAATATAACTTGGTAATGTTATCGTAAACCGAAAAAAATAAAAAAAATATGAAGAAAACGACTTAATATATGCATTACTACTAAGCATTACTTTTTTTCTTTGCAGGAAAAAAGTAAAAAAAAGGAAGGGGATATCTTTCTTAATTACTTACTACTTTCGCGTATTTTTTAGTTGGTAGTTATTGTAGGTAGGGACTTATGCAAAGTATTCATACAATCTTATAGTCTCATATAGTTTAATTTGTGGTGGTTTACCTCAGGATTGTTTAAGGCAGTGGTGGTTTACAGGAAGGTTCTTTACGGTCATAACGTAATATATATGGCACTGGTGGGAATATATACATGGATAGTCAACTATGTCTATATCTTTGTATGGACTTGGCATTTAAATGATTTGTTGTAGATAGTATTATTTCCTAAATTGAAAAGTTTTTCCAATCTTTTTTTTAAATACCACTCCCTATAAATCTGATTGGAAAATAAGTCCTTCAGTTACCATCGCCCTTTTTGAGCACATTTTTAGTAGTTATAGCGGTCAAAATACGGAACCCTACCTCACATTATGCGTGGCCCGACACGCACTTGGCAAGTTTTTATATATGTGAAGGCGCGCATGAACACCGTACGCTTTAACTCAAGGCTTTACTTATGGGGCGTGAGTATTAAGCGACCCTCGTGTCTGCACCTATGCGTCAATTATGTGGGGTGAAGGTTTTGATAGTCTCGCCTCGGACCTGGCTCTATAAATGGGGAGGGATCCTGGGACCCTGGAATATCTGCCGTATTTTCCCTCTCTTTCTCCGCAGACTCTTACGCTCCTCCGTGACATCACCTGCTAGTAAAAGGTAACAACGGCGATTCACGATCTCTCGCATCCAACCATAGCTTTACTTTAGGTTGGGAACGAGAGGGGAATCGGCGTACTCACTGTTGCTACGTAGTAGGTAATATTATTTATTCTGTGCTGTTGCTTTGAGGTTCGTACTCAACTCAAGTTGGGCAATCCTCTAGGGCTTTAAGGAGTTCTGCGCCGTGTCCTCGTCGATAGCGATGGAACGGCAATATTTCTCGTTTAATAATTATAGGATATCTTTCTTATATACAGGAAATTCTTAAACATAATATGTTTGTATGTTAATAAATCTGGAACTATTAAATGGATTCTAAATATTCTTTTACTCTCTTTAGTAAGCTGTAAGCTTCAGACATCCCTGTGTAACAATGGGCTATCATATATATTTTATTGCGATAAAAATAAATTTTCGAAATCTCATTATTGTATCTACAATAAATCAAGTTGGACGAAAAAGCGCTACTCAATTGTTTTATCGGCGAGCGATGACTGGATATATGATATACGCGAAGTTAATGTATTATATAAGTAATCATTAGTAGATCACAGCTGGACATGGGTCTGTACCGTTGTAACGAGAATTTGTCTTAATTGTTACGCTTAGCAGGCGGATCGACCGTCAATCATTCAGGATCGCAGCACCAGACGTCGCGCACCTTTGATGATACTGCTCGCCGCCGGTCTAAGGTGTTTACGTCTGACGTAAACGAAATGTACCTTTTTAATAAAAAAATTATGGTGACAGAAAATTGTCCGATAACAGTTCGGTAATATGAGGTACCGACAGAATTACAGAACTGTGACTGTGGCAGTACTGCTACAGCATCATGCTGTGGATGCCAGGGATGCCGTTTGGTTGCTGGAATCCAATATAATTGAATATATCGTTATTGTAATTGTATTAAGATTCTATGATGACAAATAATAATTAAGAAAGGTAAAAAACGAGCGAACAGTCCAGAACAGCCTATAGAAATATACATCTCTACTTGATTAAAATAAAAATGCAGATATGCTGTCCCAGAGGACGAAAATGGAATGTATCAATACAAGTAAAAAATTACAAACGAATACAGCAGCATATTAACCTGTTATTATATGTTGATATTCTTTACAAACGTGGCCCTTCCCCGCGCGAACTGATAGATTTCTTTTGCATCTCACTTCCTCTGTAGAAATTGTTTTGGACCTGTTCAGTACTTACCGTGTATATGGCCATGATGCGTCATTAACTCTGTCAGATATTTGACCCTTCAGTGCAGATATTCTAACCCCTGTCGGCGACACCGTTGGTAAGCCTTCTCCGGTGTCTACAACATACCGCTTTGGAACGCTTAACATGTTATTTCTCCTGGGTATTTTGTATGGGAAAGACGGTGTAGGTGGATCAAATTTTGGTTTCCCCATATTGAGCTAGCTATTCTGAGAGTTGGTTATTTCGGATGGGTGTGTTCTTGAATTATTACATTGTAATATTGAAAGTGGATATTATACTATTTTGTTCTTAACGTCATGATCCGTGTCTTTATGTCAGTCGAATGAAGTTTTTTGAGTTCATTGATAACGTAGCAGTCATAGATTAGCACTTATATATTATGTAGATGAGATTTGTGATCATATTATACTCTTTGCTTTCAGTTATTTGAGTATTATCTATGCGCTAGGTCGACAACATAAATAAATAGATATGTAGCAATTAGACAGAGCTCACACGTGATGCGCGTGATAATCATAATATCATTATCAATAAATATGCGTGCATATAATAATTCTTGATATGTAAGTTTGATCTTGTATGTTTGTAAATTTCTTTATTACCTCGCATCTTCAAATGGCTGGATGGATTTCGACAATTAAGGTATCATTTTATTCGTCTTAAATAACCCAAGTGTTCTTAGATAGCTTTTTTAATAAATAAAATGGCGGATTTTTGGCGCAAAATAGTAATACTTTAATAAAAAAAATTAACCAAACCTATCGAATAGGATATCAAAATAAAGGAATTTAAAAGGGGATTACAAAAATATATACAAATTGTATGTTTAAATTTAAGTATGTTTGTAATTTTCTTCATTACCTCGTATCAATCTTCCAAACGGCTGGATGGATTTCAACAATTAAGTTATCGTTTTATTCGTGTTAAAAACCCAAGTGATCTTAGATAGCTTTTTTTAAATAAACAAAATGGCTGAGTTTTGGCGCAAAATAGTAATACGTTAATAAAAAAATAATCAAACCTATCGAATATAAGTTGTATGGTTAAATTTAATCAGGAATTATAAATTGGTTTATAAAGTTTTTAATAACTGGTTTATAAAATGTGCAATGTTTGTGTCGGAGCTCGTGCTATTATATGAAAAAAGAATAGTTATTAATATCCGTCACCCAATAACATTTATAACAAAGCAAATACTTACTTAAATTGTTTTCAATAAATTTTGAAACGTATACTTTGAAGTTTTGAAGAAAAACGTATTAAATAAACACCGTTTATTTCAGGAAATATACATCGACCTTTTTAAGCCGCATAGTTATTGAAAAATCGTCAAAAATCTTTACACAAAAAACAGGCACACTAAAACGTCTTAAATAAAATAAATAATTTAAAAAATCAAAAACCTGACTGCAAAAAAGACAATTTAAAAGTAATGCACCAAAAAGATCGAAACAAGATTGAGAATACAAAACAAAATTAAAATAAACTATAAACAAAGTAAACTCTACTTCGGTTTAACAGACTATATGAGCTGTAAACCTAAGTAAAATAGCCTAAGTTAAATATTAAGTTTAGTAGCAGGCGGGGTCCATTGCAAATTACAAACCAAAAGATAATGGGTTCCGCTTGCTACTAAACATATCCAATGAAATTGTTAATTACAATTTTAAGTGCTGATTTACCACGTGCTCGGCGGTGAAGGAAAATATTGTAAGGAAACCTGCATGTCTGAGAAATAAGAAAAAAAAATTTTTCGAAGACATGTGAAGTTCGCCAACTTGCATTGGGGAAGCGCGGCGGACTATTCCTTGCCCTAAAACCCTCTCAGAAATGAGAGGGCGCCTGTGCCCAGCAGTGGGACGTATGTAGGCTGTAACTTTACTTTACCAAAAAAAAAAACGGGAAAAGATGGATAGAAAAAAGAAGAAATATCCTTGTGTCAGTAAAAAGAAACGTAACGCAAGAGTTAAGTGATGAGTGAAGAGTTTTGGGAAACAACAATACTGCCCCGTTTGATAAAGTTTTATCATAGTTGTATGCTAACAGAATTAATTTATTCGCACCTTGAATGTTCCATGCCGATAAAAAACCCACCGTATATAATAGAAGCAATAGAAAATAAAAAACAAAAAGTCCCAAAAAAAGTTAACCCCTACACAATATTACACCACTCGAAAAAAAATTCATATATATAAACACTAACGCCTGTTACCCAGAGGCGTATACAGAGACTACGGACTTCCATTTGGCACGATCCTGACATACCTCTTTCGCCTCCTTTACATCCATATATCTACTACTACGCATACATGCTCGATAAAAATTCCTTACTTTTAATGATGTTACAAACTAAATAAATAAGATATATATATATATATATATATATATATATATATATATATATATATATATATATATATATATATATGTACTACGTACTAGAGGCGACACTGCATTCAGCTACTCTGTTCCACTCAACTGCGGTGCATACACCGCACTTTAATCAGTCACTCGCTAGGCGCTTGTAGAGTTGTCATGTGTTGTGCTGATTTCGACCGACACGAGCTGAGCAGTCAGAGACGAGGGTCCGCACTCCCCCCTCGGACTGCGGTTAGTTAACTCAAAAACGCCTAAAAAGGCGACATGATGATTGGTAACAATACCAAATCATAAACCATTCATCATCATCCCAGGCCACGAGCCCTGAGTCAGATGAAGCTGTAAGAGTCGCATAGACTAACAGCGCTAACATCCAGAAACTAGACTGTGTTGATTTAAAAAAAATCTCTTCATAAAAATATGCCGTCGTGTGTACTTAGATATTGCACAAATAATTCAAGAAATGTCAGTAAAAACCAAAGAATAACTTTTCATCGGTTAATAAGATACTTAATCAATAAAATTATTATATATTAATAATAAAACAAATTATTCCTAAGACGCCATCTCGAGTCATGGAAAATATATTAAGAAATTAATTTGCTCAGATGCGACATTTCTGTGGGTACTTAAGTATAGGACGAATATAATATATCATTATACACATATTTTTTTTGTAGATACATATATAAGTTATCGTAATTAGCCTAATTTATTATATTTAAATCTGCTCATTATTCTTTTATTTTATTTTTAGGTTTCCACATCAAAGTCAAAGTGGAATAAATTTGTCCATTTTTAAGTCTCGCATGTCCAGCATTTATGAACGACTCTTATTCTAATTTGTAAATAAATTTGTAATTTAAATGTTATATTAATAAGTTTTGTTAAATATACATATAGTATGTTTTTTTATACTTGACATATATACCTTTTAAAATATTGAGATAAAAATATCATTAAAATGTAATTGTGATACAATATTATGTAATATTATATTAAATAAGCAAATATAATATACAAAATAAATGACAAAATTTGAAAATTGTTTTCGATATAATTTATACCATCTACTATTACCTACTGATCATTCTACCTATTATGTTTATTCTATGATAAAAAAACCAATCGCGCGAACATAGAGTAGCGCATATTTTTTGTTTGAAACTTTGAAATAGCTGTTCTAGTACGTATAGTATATATAACGTATAAAAAAGTCAAAAAAGTCTTCATAAGTACATATTACTTCAATGGTATTCAGTTATTTTTTGTATGATTTTTTATCAACTGCCTTCTAAATTAGATTTCTCTTTTTTTTAAATAACAGGTAATAGCGTTATTTGTATGTACAGATTGTATAAAAAAATCATATACATCCGATATGAAGGGAGGAGCTGGAATCATAGAGCTAAACCAGATTTAATACAAAAAAAAATCGAAAATAGAAAAAAATTTACTGATTCTTCATACCAAATGTACAAGGTAGAGGCGAAATTTGTATGAAGAGGCAGTTTTTATTTTCCTTCGGTTGTATATACCTTTTTTAAACATACAACCCGTATAAACATTACTAAAAACGACATTTATGAAATATAAGAAGATAAAAAATTATACTACGACGACAAAAGTAAAAGGAATATTTACTAAAAAAAAAAACACGACGGGTTGCACTCCGGGAGTGCCGGCAGAAGTGAAAAAATATTAACGTTGTGCATTTTTGATATTTTGATTTTATTATTGAATGATTATGTAATAATTTTGCACGAATTGCTTTAATTATCACACACGAACATTCGCGCAAGCGCCCTACGCCGCCTAAACGAAATAGCAGGCGCAGGCATACATTTTCGCCGCGCCGTAGAAAGAGAGGGGATACTTCCTCTCTTACGCCGCGCCGGTTGTCTCTCTCTCTCCATCCGTCTTACGTCTTTTCGATCAGGGTCACGTGTCCTGACGCGAGTTTAACATTTTTTACCCGTTACAAAAAGTGTACAACGCCGCTAAAGAAGTTTTCACTTCAAAAAAATTTAATAAGTGATATATTTAATGAAGTAGAGCAACCTTCACCTGTGATCTCGAACGTATTTATGCAAGGGGGAGAGCGCCCCCTCTAATAGCTTGGAAAGTAAAAGAGCAAAGCTATCAGTGTGCAAAGCTGTCAGAGTGCTGCTTGACTATCAGAGTTTATGTAAATTATATGGTTGACGTAGTGTTTTTGCAGATTGATTTCCGCACACCGAAGTATAGCGAAAATTTTCCCCAACCCAAATTCATACTAAGTTTGAATTTGGGGCGTTCCCCGTAAATTCCAAAGCCTACGTCGAGGCCCATTTTAGACCCATCGGTATACCATATGAGGCTACCGACCTCACAGATAACCTGACCATTCAGCCAGTCTTCTCTGGAGGGTAATTCCACTATATACTTTTTATCAAAAGTGTGTAGTGGGCGCATGATATCTGAGATCATGCATAAGACCGGTGATTCCTTAACTGAGTCGAGCATGGATCTCAATCTGTAGGAAAACAAGCTCAGACCGCCCTGGGCGTTAATCCTATACAAACTAGCCCTCGCCTCCTTGTCTAGATAGAGATCAAGGGGCGTTAGGCATAGAAGTACGTTAAGAGCCGCTCCAGGCGATGATCGCATGGCTCCAGTTGCCATTAAGCAGGCAGTCCTTTGTAGACTATTTAGTCTGTCCGCAGTCGTCTTTTGGTTGGCTTTGTTACACCAGACAATAGAGGCG